CAGCCCCTTCGTGTGCCATGGCAGCCTTCATTAGGTGCTACTCGCTAACAGCACTTGCCCCAACGGTCTGCTAAGGCTACACGGGGGATCTTTGTCTGGCAGAGACACACCACAGCCACGGTGGATGGGTGGGGGGGGAGAATCCACGACGTGCCTTGCGGGTTCATTCTCCGGTCTGCTGCGCGGCGGTTTCGTTTAATCGTAAATTAAAAAAAAACTTTCGTCACGAAGGCTGGTAGCGTAGTTTGATAGATTAAAAAAGAAAGTACGTTAGTAAAAAATTGTAACGAAAATTCCATGTTCGCAAAAAATAATAATGCACCCGTATGGATTTGTGTGTAACGATTTGCCAGCGTGAGTATATGCGCGTGTTTAATGAACAGCACAGAAGACAATGGGCAGCCGATAGGGCTCAATGCGTATTGACAAAGGGCTCCTTCCCTTTTTGTTCCGGTTTGCGTCTCCACGTTTTTGGGGCAGTGACCCTCCGACCGATGCGTCAGGTGACTCCCTAGGAGCAGCGCAACATTGAGCCAAAGCTTCGTGCACGTTGAATCAGCTCTACCGACAGCCATGATGGCTCCCCCCCCCACCCCGACGCGGATGGCGAGACGGACCGACCCACCGGGGAGACGAACAAGGAGACGGAGCGATGCACGGAGCGAATGAAAGGGCGCCTTTGACCCGAAGCTGCAAAGCGTCCAGACGTGGCCGGCGTCGCTTTGGTAAAGCGGTGTCAGAAGCGGAGGAGTCCAAGGGGTGCGTGGTTTATTCGCACAAAGTCTCCAAGCCGATTTTATTGGAAATAAATCCGCAACAGCAGCAGCAGCAGCAGCACGTCGCGTTCTAACGGAGGCGTGGGCACAGTCAGAGTGATTTGTGATGTCTGCAGCCGAGGCCACTGTGGGGAGAGAACGTGGCGATTTTGGAGAACGTTACGATTGCGGTGGGGGGGGGGGGCACAGAGTGGGGGGTGGGCATAGAGCATAGAGGGGGGGGGGCAGAGGAGCAGGGGCTGCGTGTCTGTGGACCGCACGGGTGCTTTGTTGGAGCTCTCCGCCTTGGAGCAAGCGGTGAACGTGTGAGCGAGCGAGCGAGCGTGCGCGTTGGCCATTGCGGCGTGACGGCCGCGGCAGCAGCTCACGGCGCCGGGGTCGGTATCACCGTGCACGCCACCACGCCACCACGTCAACGTGCCTGTGTCCGTGCCCACAACGGCCCTGAGCGTCTGTCAGTTGTCTCGTTCGGCGGAGTTACAGATTAAACAAACTGTGCCCAGCGGTCTCTGCACAGGCGATCTCTAATCCACACCAGGGGCTCCCCCCGTGCGTCGCCACAATGCCTGCCGTAGGAACGTTCGTCAAGCTCAGCCGCATGTCATGGCGGAAGGGATGAGTTTGGGCAGTCGTCGGTGATCGGGCTGAGACGGTCAACTCGCGCCACTGCAGAATTCCGTTGAATCGCGAGTGGCTTGAATCTCAGATTTTGAACCAAGGTTCTCCGACGTTGCCGGCTCAGTGTCCCTGACCGCACGGCCACCCGGTCACCTCGACATCACAACCCCAGGAGATGTCAATCCCAGAGATGTAAATGATGAAATCGGCTAGTGGATTGTTGCCTCGGGGAAAGAAAAAAAAAAGCACAAAACACGGCGACGGCTCAGGGATGGCACCTTGCAGCAGTGAATTGATCGAGGCTGACGATGATGACGACGGCGTGTCTGGAGTGCACGCACAGTGCGGAAAATCGGCCGTCCCCCTTCACGGGGTGGCGCTTAGCAGGCCAAGGTTTAAGGCGGCCGAACGCCACATGCTCTCCGAATTAAAATCTGGCGTAGTGTCGTGGAAATCTTCGGGTGGCGACGACGCTCGCATCTGGATCTCATTTACTGCTGCCGGAGGACTCAGATACGCGAGATGGTGGGGCCGGTGGGCTGGCCAGGTTTCAACCGGGGCGGTCAGGTTTCCACAGCGCGGTCCTGCGGCACCTTCCTCAGCGTCGAGGGCTTCCACGGCAGCTCCCACCATCACTGCCACATCCCCCCACCCCGACAATGCATTTAGCCGACATTGATTTCCGCGCTCGCGAAGTCTCCGTGTTATCTCTCGCACGGCGGGGATGCAAGAGGAGGGGGAACACCATTAGAGGGGTCTTCACAGGAAATTGATCGGGAGCACGTGGGGGGTGTGGGGGGGGGGTGCGGGGGGGGGGGTGGGGGGGGGGGGGGGGAGGTTAGCAGCCCCCCCCCCCCCCGCTCGCGTCCCCGTGTGGCCGCGCACGCCGCCGCCACGATGCCACGGCCACGGCCACCGGCATGATCTATCCACTGCTGGACAACCCCCCCCCCCCCCGTCATGTATACACACGCCCGTGACCGAATCACCCGGACTGCGCCCACTCTCGTCAGAGCAGAGCGGAGGCCAGATCGTGCTCGGATGGGCGAGCACCACGAGACTGGTTGCCGCAGGCTGCCAGGGAGCTTCGCGGTGGGCAGCGCAGGGCAGTTCGTGGAGAAAAACACATACTGCATATATATATCGTCATGCCGAACTCCCATGCTCTGGCGCGGTCTACGTTCCCCGCCTTCACCAACGCGCGAAGTTCGCTCGAACGACCACCGTGACCCGCGCAGCGCGCAGGAGGCCCTCTAGCCGCGGCGGGTGGCGAAATCCTCCGGTGACACCGACCCCCCCTCCACTCCCCCATGGCCTGGCCAAGGCTCTCTTCGCCGCTCTCACCGCCGCGCTGAGAGGGCCCGCCCCGTTGTATCGTCAACCCCGCCGGGCCGCCGCCGCCGCCGCCGCCGTGATCAACGAGCGGCGGATCTCGGCTCGCGACTGCGTCGGCTGCGGGGCAGCGGGCGTGACGAGAGAGCAACCTCCACGGAGGCCTCCCGTTAATTGCGTTGGTTTAAGCTTTTCACCGTGGTAAGACAAAATTATGGAAGCTACGGAGACGGGGGGGGGGGGGGGTGGGGGCGAGGGGGGGGTCACCTGCAGAGGTTAATCGCATTACGGCGCTCGCGTCGCGATTCGCGCCGCCCGCCGCCGAGAGCTCGCATCGTCCCCCGCGGGCGTTTCCGAAAATACATCGCGAAAATTATTGCGCAAGAGTGTGCTTTAATCATCGTGCCGCGCGCGCGCGTCCGTTAATTCAGCTCCGCTATCCAGGCGCGGAGACTTGCTCGGCTCTCGCAGCGTTTAAAAAGGACGAAGAAAAAAAAACACTACTATATTTTTTTATGTACATCTATGCGTGGCTTAGGAGCAAGCACCCATTCTGTGGCCTTCTTGAGCGACACGTCTCGCCGATCTGCACCCAGACTCGGCCTGTCCAGCTCTGCTGTGGCAATTCGTAAACCATGATGCAGCAAAGGGGCTTAGAGAGCTCCGTAGAATCATGCCACTGTGGTTTTGTGCTAGGGTGTAGGTGTCCGGTTGTTTTTTTTTACGAGTCAAAGGTGTCAGCAGTGGTCTGCACACTGCACGGTGCTACGACCTTCCCCGACCAAGCTTCAACTCCTGGTCCCTTCACAACGTTGGTGAGATTTGACCTTGGCCTGCAACATCCCCTCGGTCAACCTCGGCCGAAAATTACTCGACGGTAACTTTGGTGGGGGGAGGGGGGGGTGTCACTGGATGTGCAACGCTTCACCCGCTAGGATCACGATTTGATGAAAAAATATTTTTACTAAGCTCGTGTGTTAGCGTCTTGTTTACATTTGTATTAAATGTTGTCTTGTTTCATTGTGTGTGTGTGTTCGCCCCATAAGCATGATTAAATCTGACATCACCATACCATTTTCATGAATTGTATATCGAGAAAATCGATTCTCACGTGCCAATTACAACACCCACGTCGCGGTCGTAAGAATCGATTTGAACCTTTGAAGCGATGTGTCGTCAAACGGCCACCACCCAGCACTGTGAAGACAAAAGGCAGCCGGGGGCGGGCTCGGCACCACTTTTATCATCCCCCACACCCCCCCCCCCCCCCAACGCGCCATTAGCTTTGCCGGCCTTAATAGGCGCTCGCTAGCAACAGCACCAACAACAATTGTTCCAAAAGTCAAGGAAGTCTGCGGGAGTGGCGTGCGTGTTTCCACTTGTCTTCGACCCGCCGGTGAGCGGTCGGGTTAATCTCGGTGTGCCGCGAATCGCAGCCAGCCCCGGCCAAAAAAAACGCAGCCCGCAATAAAAAAAATGAGGTTAAATTGGAAATTGAGCCAAACACCGTTTACATTTATTTAATGTCCTCTGTGTGGAACTTTCCCACCACAAAATGTAATAAATCGACGAGTGTTAGCCGCCAAGCAGCAATCTCGAGCAGAGTTATTACGTTCCTCCTGCAACAGCCGCAGCAAATCTCCTTTCATTCGTTTGAAGCCTGATCGCTCATCGGCTCGCACGCAATGAAACCAGCAATTGAATGGACCGTTGGGTCGCGAGTTTTTCAACTCAAATTCGCTCCTTCATCGGGGGTCCCTTTAACATGCCCATTGCCCCCCCCCCACCCCCGGCCACGTATAACAATATAACGATGATGATCATGATAATAATAATAATATCGCGAGCACTGTGACCGCTGTGGCCTGTGCAGCACTTCGTTACGAGCCTCCGCGCGGCGTCTTGAGATGCGGCCACACAATTGCACGCCGCGTTTCACAAACGTGCACTGGGAGTAAGTAAGGGAGGGCGGGGGGTAGACAGAAAACCTGGTCGATGGATTCAGGCTTGAGGGGGGGGGGGTATGAGATCCAGAAGAGCGAAGGGGTGAGACCCGCTAGAGGATGAGCACCGTGGAGGAAATTGGGATCGCGCCCCATCATCGCAAACGATGAGCCCGGGTCCCAGAGCGTCGTGAGTTGTCGGTCTCGGCTGGCTAAAAACAACGATGGCACAACCCCCCCTCCCCATAGCCCCCACCGCCTGCCACTCCCCCCCCCCCCCCCCCCCCCCGTTTTAAGTTGAGGCTGGTTGTGCCGTGAAGACCTCACTCACCTGGCTGAAGGAGTTTGCTCCCGAGCCCCGATGATCTCCCTTCCGGCTCCAGTATTCCCCGATGCCGGGCCCCTTGTGCACCACTGCACACGCACGGGGACAGGCAGGAAGGAGCTCGCGGTTAGCGCTGTAGACTGTTGGCGAGCACCTACTTCGGGTCAGAGTGGCGTGACGAAAAAACACACACGGACGTACGCAACGACGCAGATCCATCCGCGCGCAGCCTACACACGCTGCAAGTGCCGTTTGCGAGCTCCAGCACGGCGCACGAGGGGGTGGGTGGCCAGCACCAACGCCGGGCCACCTCTGTCTCCCCAACGCTGATGCTTCGTAAACAGCGTACCGGTCAGCGCACCGGACGCACAATCCAGAGATCACCGGTTCGTTCTGAATTCCTGGAGTTGCAGTTGAAACAACGGGGCAAGTGGATTCCATCCCCCCCCCCCCCCACTCTGCCGCCTCCGCTCAACCAGCAGTGTCAATGGATGCACCCAAGTTAGTTTCATGTACGAACGTTGAACTTCTTTTGCACCGTACGCAGCCAACCGTGATCAATCGGACGTTCGGGGGAAGAACAACAAACTAAACACAAAAAGCAGTTCTCAAGAAATGAGTTTTCATTCGAGGTCATTTAAAAGTGCACTGCTCCAGTTGCTTCCTAAGATCGGAAGGAAGAGCGTTCCAGACGGCCGCAGAAGTGCACCTGAAAGGGCGCGATGCTGTGATCGTCTTTGTTCGATGGTTGGCCATCGGCACGTCGCGTGAAGTGGTGGGGGGGGGGGGGTAAAGAGTGTGAGTACTCCCAGCCTCTTCCAAGAGACCTGGCTAGCGTAGAAGAGTTGGCCAAACACCCTCGAGAGGGGGAGGCTCTCTCTGGATTGCATCTGCCATGAGCAAGCAATTACAGGGCTGCACTTTTTTTACCTTCTATATTTTACGCGTAGGGCCGTGAAAGGCGGCGTGCGGGAGGTAGTACGACTACCTCTACTATTTTTATTTTACCGGGTAAGGCCTACTGAGCGCTATGTAGCTTTTTTTCAGAAGCGACCTGGCCACAAATGATAGCTCAACAAAGTGGCTTATCGCATGGAAATTTATTGTGGCCAAATATTCTAAACGTGTGACGTTGATTCTAAATGTGGAGGGAAAAACTGGAAGACCTGGAGAAAAATCCACGCTACCACGGGGAGAGAGAGACACGCAAACTCCGAATATACAGCAGCGGGCGTCGTCAGGGTGGGGATCGAACCCACGACCTCCCGTATACCATGTGAGGGAGTTAGTATATCGCTACCGCGGCATCTAGTGAAGGAGTCACGCCTCTTGGCTGCACGGGATTGTTCTAGAGTGCCCGTTCTCTGTTTCTTGTTCATTTTTCTTACGTGGTAGCCTCGCACACACAGCCGCCCTGTCCGGCCGAGCCAGGCTCCGTCTGCAATGTGGCAGGGCTTCTAACGGTGAAGGAGCTCAACTGCTGGCTCGCGCCACTGCTGGCGGAACGACCTTCCCCTAGACCGGCCCCTAGAGAGAGCCACTGTATAAAGCGTACGTTGGCCTACTCTTCCACGCTGGTCAGACGTCTTGCCAAGAGGTTGTACGTACGTACGTTGAACTTCTTTCGCACCATACATAGCCAACCGTGCTAAACAGAGGTGCGGGGGACGGACAACAAAAACTAAACACAAAAAACAGTTATAAATAAATTCGTTTGTCAATCTCGATGAAAGTGCCCCAGTGGCTTCCGAGTATCGGAAGGAAGAGCATTCCAGACGGACGCAAACCCCTGTCTAAAGGCGTACGATGCAGTGACCGTCTTTTTTCCTTGGCTAGCCAAAAGCTGCCGCGAGGATGACCGGAGTTCACGTGATGGTTGGCAGTACCCACACTGCACCCCACCACACACGTGTGTACACAGTACTGCTGGATGGAAAGAGGCAGGGGCGAGAGGGGCAAGGGGAAGGTGGGGAGGGCTGTTTAGAAGCTTTACCTTTTTCAAATATTAAACAAAGTTTTCTCTCTTAAAATCCCACAACTTTGTCAACAACGTAAATGGTGCTGCGGTCTACTCGGGAATTGGGTCCGGGTTGTTTTAGGAAAGAGTTCGTGAGCAGCTGGTGGTTAATGTGTCTGTGACTTGGCACACAATGGCTAACTCCCATTATAAGCGTGTCGGGCTCTGGGCGGGCAGTCCCAACCAGCTTCACATCACTGTCACCAGCCACGATCAATTCACTGCTGGATGAAGGCCTCCCCCAAGCCGTCACCAACCCTCGCGCTCCTGTGATGTAGGAATCCGTCTGGCACCGGCACAAGAGCTCAATTCATTGCTCCATCTCCACTCACTCAGACTCTACAGGATAGGGGGAGAGCGTACACACTCCAGTCACTCTCAGTCTGTAGAGCAGGAGGAGAACGAATAGACTCTATGCAGAAAGGCACACGAGTCAGGAATCGAACTCAGATCCTTCTTGCCATGAAGCTCAAGTATTACCCCTCTGGCGAATACCCTTCCACCCTTTACCCAGTACAGTACAGTATTCCCTCGCTATTCACGAATTTTCTTTCCATGAGTCTGGCTATCCGCGAATCGCATCTGTAACTCCACACGCCCGTACCAAGAGAGAGAGAGAGAAAGTGATGAGATAATTTCAACGTATCCAAACCACTTATTAACGTAATCATTTCAGGTAATTCACGAAAAAAAGATAGGTGTTCGCGGGCCAATGTCATTAACTGCGAAATGTACTGTTCACAAGCATCTCCGGCACGTTTGCCTCATCGCGAATAAGGAGGGAATACCGGAGACACAGCCGGCTTGGACGCCCCTTGTGAACGACGCTGAACTCTGTCAGCGCGAGCGGGGGGTGGTGCGGGCGAGCGGTTTTAACTTCTGACTAATTTCTCGGGATGGCTCGCATTGAACGCATCTGTGTTGCAGGCTCTGGGTCAGATCCCTTTAACTCAACACAATCCGGCTTCTCGAAATAAAATGCACGTCTCATTCATCTGGAAAGGCTTAGTAAAAGGGCATTACAATATATGCAATGTATTTGTGCCGTAAGTAAAGGCCGTTGCTAATTTTGTACGAAATTGGATTTTACTTTAATGTGGTCGCAACGAATCTTTTTTATTTAGCGTTTTACTTTCTTGGCACGATCCACGCTAAACATCGGTTCATTTTAAAAAACATTATTACATACAACCTGTGTGCCGGTCATGGGGGTTGCTTGACCATACTTCACCACGCTGGTCAGTGCCGTTTGGTGATAGGGAGGGTGAGTGCTGAGGGCCGGTCCTGGTATGACTGAAAATTAAATTCAGGTCAACGGGTTCAAGGTGCGGTGCGCTTACCACCGCACCACCCTCCAACCCAAATGATGAAATATATTGAATCTAGATTGAAAAACTCATTTCTTTAGAACTGCTTTTTGTGTTTAGTTTTTTGTTGTCCCCCCCCACCCCCACCCTGAATCTCCGATTAGCACGGTTGCCTTACGGACGGTGCGAAAGAAGACCAACATACGGTACAAGCTTACAAAACGAATGCTAATTAACGACAACGAAATAATCACGAGCACCGCTCGCTCACTCGCTCGCTCCCCGGGTCACCACCCACTCTCGTGGCGGGGGGACGGAGGGAGGCAGATAATGTCCGGTAAATGCATGACCCCCGCCCCCCCTTCACTGCTCACCCCCCCCCCACACCTCCCCTGCTCAACACGAGACAACCAATCACCTCTCTTCATCAGCCAGGGCCGGATTAACTCGGTGGAGTGGTGGGGGGGGGGGCTTTGGGGGGGGGGGGTGCAGCCCGGCGCCTCGAATGTTGGTGTGGGTGGGGGAGCTCACCCCTGCATGTTATACAGACCGCTTTGTTAGTGGTTGCCATGCAATAGTTTTAGCACCGCGATCAATCCTGGAGCGTCGCTGTTGCGTGCATTGCTGGCGGTTTATCGGCCGGCACCGAAGTACGGCCGTGTGTGCTTTTTTATTCGTTTTAACTTTTTGATTTCGGCGTTACCCTTTGCGCTTCACGGTTTAAAAATGGGAACTGAAAAAAAAACCAGAGGTGACTATCCAAGGCGTGTTGTCCGTCATCATCGGGCACGGGCGGCCGTAGTGAAGCAGTACGCGGTAGAGGCGCGGTACGGCAATTGCTCACCCGCGCTACTGCTGGCGGAAAGGGCCTCCCCGCTCGAGGGCAGTTTGGCCTACTCTTCCACTCTGGTGAGACGTCTTGCAAGCGGTGGGGAGAACCCACGCCTTACCCCACCACACGCGGCCTGCCACTCAGCGAACCGTGGTGCGCTCATTTATACACCCCGCGTGGACAGAGGCGTATGCCGGGATTGCGAATAAGAGCTCCGTGCCCCCCACTCGAACTCATTTCACGCCATTAGCGTAGCGTGGTTGGTGGTGGTGGCCTGCTGCGTTCCTATGGCAGCGCTGACACCATGGAGGATTCTCGGGGGATCAATCAACCCAAGTTTGATTTAACCCCCCCCTCCCGCGCCGTACAACATCTTTGAGTGTTTGACTCGTGGAGTAAACACGACTCGCGTCGTCGAGACGTGGAGTATTTGCGAGGAATTTCCCCAGCTTTGCCGCTGCTTGTACAAAAACGGAACGTATTGGTTGGGGTTGTTTTTTTATTATTATTTTTCGCAAACGCTCCGAGCCAAAGTGTTAAAAAAAAAACCACGACGCTAATGCTGGGCGAGCGAGCGAGTGAGGGCAGTCTGCGGTAACAGTGCGGGCTTCTATTCTCTCACGTGGAATATGCCGACTCTCTCACGGGCGCGCGTGTGTGCGTGTCTCCACACACGCGCACGCGAGACACGCACAACATGCGCACACAGGAACTCGTTCATGTCGGTATGTTTATTTATCCCCCCCTCCCTACCAACCAACGCTCCCGGTAGAGTAAACCGCTCAGCAATGCCGTGCCGCGCTTGACAGACCCCAACGCTAATTGTAACCGCGCTGTTTCTAAGCAAGCGGTGACAGCCCTTTTCTTTTGGCTGCAGATTAAAATATGTTGTAAAGGCGCAGCCCTGCAATTGCCCACGCCACTGCCGGCGGT